CGATTAGGTAAGTCCAACTTCGAGAGAGAGGTCAGTAGGCGGATCCAACTCGGCTGGGCAGCGTTCGGTAAATTAAAAAATGTGTTCTCGTCCAAAATCCCTCAGTGCCTTAAGACAAAGGTATACAACCAATGTGTGCTACCAGTGATGACTTACGGTTCCGAGACGTGGTGCTTCACAAGGGATCTTTTTAGGAAGCTCAGTGTCGCGCAGCGAGCTATGGAGAGGGCTATGCTTGGTATTTCTCTACGGGACCGAATCAGAAATGAGGAGATCCGTAGAAGAACCAAAGTTACTGACATAGCCCGTAGGATTAGCACGCTGAAGTGGCAGTGGGCAGGCCACATAGCGCGAAGATCGGACGGCCGATGGGGCGGAAAGATCCTCGAGTGGAGACCACGTACTGGCAAGCGCAGTGTGGGACGGCCACCTACGAGATGGACCGACGACCTGGTAAGAACCGCTGGGTCACGTTGGATGCAGGTGGCAACGGACCGGCCGCACTGGAGATCACTTGGAGAGGCCTATGTTCAGCAGTGGACAATGGACAGGCTGAGATGATGATGATGTTGACATTAGTGTTAGAAATTGTTGTTGAATGCAGTGTCTTTATATTTGTTTATGAATGTCCATTCGAAGAACATTGTGATAATCTCAACATCGAAAGAGTTGTTATACAAAGTCTGTTTATATCAAATGTAGGACTTGTGACTGTTTTCATTCAAACTCTTTTACAATTTTATAATTATTATTTTTTTAGGGATTTTGTGACCCGGTTACCTTTAAGTCATGTCTTATCTTAAGTTATATTCTTATTTTTATGAAAAATGATAATATGAAGTGAAAGATGATTAATTTGAGACATTAATCAACTGGAATGAAATTAAATGAAATGAGATGAGATGATATGGGATGAAATATAATCTCCGTAAAATGGTGGTCATTTACTGTGATATTTTCAGTGGACTTTTTGGAGGATCCCGAGAAGTTACGTCCAGCGGCTTTGTTTCATTTTCCCACATTTCTGCGCTTTCACTCCTCGCGTTCCCGCCAAAAAGTCAACTTAATAAATAGTTACATAAATAATTACCTACGTAGAATATATAAGAAAGACAGGTCGAAGCGTAAACGTAATATTAATATTTCTATTAATTTATAATGGTTGTTTTCTTTTTTGTTGTTGATTCAAAAATATTGTAAGTTTGTTAAGTATTTTATACGTTTTAAAAAGTTTTGTTTTATTTTTTTGAGCTTGTTTCCATGCTCAAACCGATTCAGTATATTAAGGTTATTAGCTGTTCCCCTGGGCAATGCTGACTGACGTCATGAGCGGGCGGTGACCACTCAACGTCTGCATGTTTGCTGAGGACAATAATTTAAATGAATGACCATAATGTATTCTTCATACAGAATCATTGTTGAACTAAGATTTTAACCCTAGACGCTATACTGGAAAATACCAGTCCTGACTTGGTACTCTTTCAACTTAATCGGGGCACCTGACCAGTACAGATCCTCAAATTTGGCACTAAGGTTGATCCTAGAGGCAATAAGTAGCATCAACATGTCCGGACTCCCGGCCACTGGTACTATATTATGTTTTCCTCGAAATAATAGGCATCCGGGGGCTGAGTAAGACAGCCTACGTCGGAAAAATGTAATTTAGAAACCCAAAAAAACTATTACCTAATAAGGTGAACGAAAAATTAAAATGATTTCTGTAGATAGGCACTTATTTTATCGTATGACTGGCAGTAAATTCTCAATTCGTAATAAATTTTAATAAAAAAATATGGAAATCTATTGTTATTTTTTTTAATTTTTTTTATTGCTTAGATTGGGTAGACGAGCTCACAGCCCACCTGGTGTTAAGTGGTTACTGGAGCCCATAGACATCTACGACATATATGTGCCACCCACCTTGAGATATAAGTTCTAAGGTCTCAGTATAGTTACAACAGCTACCCCACCCTTCAAAACGAAACGCATTACTGCTTCACGGCAGAAATAGGCGAGGTGGTGGTACCTACCCGTGTGGACTCACAAGAGGTCCTACCACCAGTAATTAAGCAAATTATAATTTTGCTGGTTTGATTTTTATTACACAATGATTAATACAGAAAAATTGGTACCCGCCGGCCGAGTTCGAACACCGGTGCATCGCTACATACGAATGCACCGGATGTCTTATCCTTTGGGCCACGGCGACTTCCTACTAAACTAACTACAGGACGAAAGGCGATAGTGGAAGCTGACGCTATTCATGCTACTGCTAAGTTAGCGGCAAGTTTCAACGTTAGCATCGAAGTAATATTGGTCCATTTGCGTCAAAAAAACTGGCTGGTTTGGCTTAATAAAAAAACTAGATATGTGGGTGCCGGGGGAACTGAATGATCACCAGCGCGACGAACGCATACCTGTGCGTTGCAACAAGGTCTTGCATCGTCATGATAATCGCCTTATCGTTGCTGCCGCTGACTACTCCCCGAATCCTGATCACGCAGGAGCCAGTCACCGTCGACGCCCTAGACACGTCCTTACGGATCCAACAGATCCAATAAACGCCTTCAGCTCTAACATTAGGAGCAGGCTTAGGGACCTCGGTAACCGTACTCGTCGAACTCGACAAAGAGTTCGCCGTGCAACCTAACCCATGAATCAGCTCGCTGAGTTTCTCGCCGGATCTTCTCAGCGGGTCGCGATTCCGATCCTTATTATTGTCTTATAATATAATTAGTAATTTCATAATCAAGTAAATAGTTCATTCATATTTCTTTATACTTATAATACTTTATTGGCGCCTTCCGCTTGACAGCTTCCGGCGCAATAAGCCTTAATGTTATTTATGTTACATAATTCGATATTATTAAATAATAATTGTACGTAAATAATCAGCAGAATAATTAAGATCAACAATGTTTAAGTATTACCTACTAAGTTTGTATTAAAATAGGTCAAGATGATTGTATAAATACTGGCGGTTAGCATATCTCTATTGCATTCGTATTCTACCCACCGTAACGTGTACTAAATAGAATATATTATTTCACGTGGATGTAAATTGTCTCAATTGTCGCCGCCACCCTGAGGATCCGTTTATAGTTCTCTTTGGGTGCATATTTTGATTGATAGAAATAAAAAATATTTATAAAAGAAACACTTTCACTTTCTTTAATTAAACGGCAATTTAGTAGGTAAATTATTATCGTTTCGTAGTCTACAGTGTGCTTAGTGCGAGTTTTTTAACGTTCTCGATAGCGTAAACGTTAATTCAAATTTGTATGCACTTGGAAAGGCGCGACATCCCCGGCGAGAAACGTAGGAAAACGTGCAACTCCCATATAAATTTGATTAACTTTTACGTTATCGAGAACGTTAACAAACTCGCACTAGGCACACTGATCAAACTATGAGCAGAAATAGGTAGGATGATGGTACATATCCGAGCGACCTCATTAGACTCCCTACCACAACTAATTACAAAAATTATAAATTATTGAGTTTGATTACAGAGAGATTTTTATTACACAACTATATAGATGACCCGCAGACTTCGTAGTGCCTCAGACGATAAATAAATATAAAACCTGAACTTTTGTATAAAATAAATTTAAAACAACAAAAGGAATCCGACGGACGGGGAACAACAAAAGGGAAAAACAAAATTGTTATTTTTATTTATTGCTTAGATGGGTGGACGAGCTCACAGCCCACCTGGTGTTAAGTGGTTACTGGAACCCATAGACATCCACAACCTAAATGCGCCACCCACCTTGAGATATAAGTTCTAAGGTCTCAAGTATAGTTACAACGGCTGCCTCACCCTTCAAACCGAAACGCATTACTGCTTCACGGCCGAAATAGGCAGGGTAGTGGTACCCACCCGCGCGGACTCACAAGAGGTCCTACCACCAGTAATTTCATATAATTCAAGATCAAAATTAGCCAAATCGGTCCAGCCATTCTCGAGTTTTAGCGAGACTAACGAACAGCAATTCATTTTTATATAATACTAGCGACCCGCCCTCGTTTCGCTTCGAAAACATTAAAACACACATGAAACAAAAAAAAAAAAATAAATAAAAAATTAAAAAAAGTAGCCTATGTTCATCAGGGACAATGTCGGCTTCTAATGGAAAAAGAGTTTTTCAAATCGGTCCAGTAGTTTCGGAGCCTATTCGAAACAAACTAACAAACAAATCTTTCCTCTTTATAATATTAGTATTAGTATAATATATAGATAGATTTTATTACTTTAATATGACAATCATAACAATCATTCCTGAACATTTGTTATGTTTGTAAGCATTAATTAATATCCACGACGCCAAAACGTCTTTTTAAATACCATTACTAATATCGAGAAGTGAAACTACTACTCATATAAAAGCGTATTCAGATAAACTCGATAGAACAATTGGATTAAGACAGTGACTTGATTGTGCCTTTAGTTTTGCCAATGTCTATGACAGCAACTTCTAAAGGCCACATGACAGCAACTTCTAAAGGCCACAAAAAAGGAAACCATTCTTCTTCCTATTCGTACACTCATGACAGAGTTGGTCGTGGTCATGCATCAGTCGGATCCTACGATACCGATGCTCTCGCGATGCGACGCCATGTGGGACGATGTTTTGCAGAGTGAGAGCAATCATTTATGTTGGAGATCGTCCGCAAGATCTTTTGCCCTCGACTTTCCCTTGCACCACCAACCGCTCAATGGAGTCCTCGTTACGACTGATGTGCCCGAAGAACTTGAGGATTCGTATTTGGACTGTTGACGATAGTCTCTCCTTGATGTTGAGCTCTTTCAGGATCGAAATGTTGGTACGGTGCGCAGTCCACGGAATTCTGAGGAGACGTCTCCAACCATAACATACAAATAAACAAACCTTTTTTGTTTGATTTGAGATAAGCTCAATTTCATTGTTAAGCATACAAGGATTATATTCGGGCATGATTTTAAACAGCATTGAGAGGAACCAATTAAATACATTGCGGAATGTACAGTATTAAACATTTATTTTAAAGTAAAACAATTTCACATATTGATTTCATGTATTTCAAACAAAATAGTGCGGTTTCTTTGCTGTTATGCCATACTCTTGTAACGCGGGAGCCAAATCGTCCATGGTCATGACATATTTCTTCTCTTTGGGTCCCTTCTGGTTTTTGGAGCTTTGATTTATTTGATTCGACGTACGCATCTTGCAGTGCTGCAGTGCATCATTTACAATGTCAGACAAGAATTTCTGTGATGCCAATGCGATCAATCTGACAAGTCTGAAATGTGAAAATGGATTTGAAAATTACATACATAAATAATATGATAACAAAAACAGCTAACATAGCATATCATGTACCAACTACCTAGAATTCTTGTTAGAACTATAAACTTAGATCTCTTGTCTCAAAGTGGGTGACTGCATTTATGTTATTGATGACTACGGGTTCCAGTAATCACTTAATCACCAGGTGGACAATAAGTTAATTCATCTCTCTAAGCAATAAAAAACTATGAAGACATTATTAGCTTAAAGGCAGTATTCTGGTTTTATACTAAGTGTTAATCTTTAGATGTAAATGTTAGCTTAAATTACATTCGAATAGGCTATTCTAACTTTCAAGTAAGCAAGAATGTAATTTATGTAGAACCAATATTTTAAGTTTTGCTCCTTTGAACTTTTTACATAACTATTTAAGAATGCTCCCTAAATCCACGATATCTGAGATTTGTTCAAACTAATTAATCTTGTGGTTGGTAGGGTGGGGTTATGTTACTGGTGGCAGATACTACCACTCTGTTAATTTCTGCCATGAACTAGTAAAGCATTTCAGTTTGAAAGGTAGGGCAGCTGTTATGCTATAAGAACAGACATTTCTCAGGGTCATCAACAACTTGAATGTTGTCACCCACATTCAAGTTGTTGATGTCTGTGGCCTCTGGTGAACACTTAACACCAGGTGGGCACGTCTATGCATCAAAGTAATAATGAAAAAAAGTTTGTGGACTATCACTAAAACACCAGAACACAAAAAACAATTGGTTTTACTAAATTAGACTTATTGAAATATTTATTTTGTACTTTCTTTCCTGGCTTTTTAAAGCCAAACTTGTTAATTAGAATTTGCGTAATTACTGGTGGTAGGACCTCTTGTAAGTCTGCACGGGTAGGTACCGCCACCCCACCTATTTCTGCCGTGAAGCAGTAATGCGTCTTTGGTTTCAAAGGTGGGATAGCTGTTGAAATTTTACTGAGGCCTTAGAACGTATGTCTCAAGGTGGGTGGCACATTTGCGTTCTAGATGTCTATGGGCTCCAGTAACCACTTAACATTAGGTGGGCTGTGAGCTCGTCCACCCATCTAAGTAATAAATTAATAAAAAGTTTCCTATACAACAGAGACGTCAAATCAGTGCCAAGGCTGACTGAACTTCTGAGTGTTGTCTAACATGATTGGTATAATTGACCCATGAAAAACCCCAAATCTAGTGTGTGCTACATACTTTGATCAAAGCAACATATTGAAAGTTTAAAAGACATATTTCAAACATCAAGCCACATGTTTCAGAATTATCAATAGTGTTATATTTGTTAACTGTTAATTCAACTCTTAAATTGACACTTAGAAATTTGAATGAAGTACATATCTTAATAGACAATTACAGACAAAAAATCTCAATCATTTGTGAACAATGATGAAAACAAAATTAATCAATAAATGATTTAGGTAAATATTTGAATTCTGATCCATTGAGACTATGACGCTTCAAATAATGTTGTTGTAACAAAAGGTTGACAAAACTACGTGTTACATTTTAGAACAAAAGTAAAATTTTCAAGGTGATTTTAGATGAAAAAATTGAACATTTTTTAATGTTTTTTTCGTTAATTCATACTTGGCTTTTAGTTATTAGTGTTTACTTATTGGATTTCAAGGCTTACCTCGGATCCTGTGACTCGAATCCGGTTAAATTCAAATAATATGCGACCACGGAATCGGGTATGGATGGATTATAATTCTCAAGCTGAAGAAGGAAGTCGCCTAAAGCGTGTCCTGCGCAACCGTCGTCGTCCATACCGACCGATGGTGAACCGATACGGCTCATTTGCATCGCTTTAGTGAAAATTTCATTAATTAATGCTTTTCTTACATTTAACAATTATTGCAATTTAAAAAACCATTTACTTTAGTACACTCAGCACTTTAAATTTTTTTTTTTTTGGAGTTTATGGCCTGGTATCTAGACTTTTAGGCCAGCACTTTGAAGTTTGATTGGACGAGTGTTGCTGAGTGAGTCGTAAAAAGTATTTTCAGAAACTTTATTAGCAAACACTACATATTCCCAAACTAATGTCTGATTACAATTTGATTGAAAGCGTACTAACGCAATAATTAGGAACGAACAATCTCTTTCAATTGATTATGTTATGGACTTTTAGTTTTCACCCTTTCGATAAATTGTGTCGGATTCTCAGTAGGTAATTAATATCGTATAATAAAAAAGCTTACTAAACAGTATTTTGAAACGGATTAATTTTTTGAATACTTTTATCCTTAGAACTGAATCATCCAATATTTCCCTGGCAGCCCTCAAGTTAGTTTGAACCAGATTAAAACTCACAAATTATAAATCGACTAGATAGGTAGTTGGAATAAAACTAGATTTTGTATTTTAAATTAAATAGTAATCGCAAAAACATTCTTCAATTACCACTTAATATTGAAAATAAATTACAATTTAGAAAATTTGATTTGTAATTGTCTGAAAATTGGAGATAAGATATTATGGATTACTTCCAAGTATTATTTTACTAAAACAAAATCACAAGAGATTCTAAAACCTATCAATAAAAAAATCACTAATATGTTCACTATAATAACTATAATGTTATTTAAAGCTAGACAACAAATTTCTCATTTTCGTCGTTCATTATTTTAACGCTATTGGTTGTCTAGTTAATTTCTATTAAGCTTGTATAAACTTGTTAATGGATAGACATTCTGCTTACGGTTTTTGGGGATTTCTAAGAATTATTATGTAATAAAAGGTTGAGGAAAATGCCAAACTAAGTGCCAATTAGACACGGTGGCATAGCCGTTTGAATATTGTAATGTGTGATGTATCGAGGTCCTTTTCTATAGGACGAGAAGTGCAAGTGAAATCTCTTAAACAAAATAATTGTTGGCTATATTATTTGTAATCGAAACGTTAGTACAAGCTATATCCGATTGATTGACTGGTTAATACAGTTCTTTAAGAGTATCAGACATGGTTTTTGGTAAACTATCATCAAACTACTACTGGCGATTTATTGAATACATTACGTATTGAATAAACTATGCATATATTAGTACATATATTAGTAGACGGGCTGGTAGTTCAAATAATACTCAATATTTGAGAGTTCCAACTATGGAGGGTAGAGGTAAGGAGAGCCGTCTCTGTGTGTAAAAAGTGTCCGTTAAATCTGCTAAATAAGGGTGGCGCTAGAGTAGCAACCGGGTAAATTAAAGGAAAGGCGATGAAAGTTATTAGAATAAGGTAGAGAAATAAATAAGGACGAAAGAACTGTAAGCACTACAAAATCACAAAAAATAATTTATTTAAAGCTGATAAGAAAATGCGATCGATGTCTCCACGTTTTACCACAGCAATAATTTTAGGTTAGATTGACGAAATTAATTTGGACTACGTAAACACGTGAGGTTTGTATATTACACTGTCACTAACTACTCTAGTCATTAACAATATTAAACTGTAATTTAGTGCTGAAAGTGGGCCACTTTTTCAAGCTTCTCCCATATGAGACGGTTCTCCTTACCTCTACCCTCCATAGTTCCAACAAAGGAATAACATTGTGTAATAAAAGTCATCAAGCAAACTATCAGTTCTTGTCAAAAAAAAAAAAAATTACAGAAATTATTTCGAAAAAGGTTTTTTCAAATTTGTTAATCTGGGAAATTTTAATCTCTAATCTAAACTGCTTTACATTACAGTCCAAATTCCATAAGCCATGTGTGTGGTTGTTCACTTCCTTAGATAGCTTTAGTAGGGCTCTACATAAATAAAAATGAATAGAATCATTTTGTAGTAAAGCTATGTACCTATGTAGCTATTCAAGTAATTTTTATTTGCTTTTGTCAGTGATGGCAACACTATTCATTCATTATACTGAATACCATGAAACTTAAGCCAGTCATAAAATCTTAAAAAAAAAATATTCTTAGGTTGGCTAGATGAGAAATGTTTTGATACTGCATCTAAAAATAATTAAAGCTGCAGTAGTGTACGGCTTTTAAATCGTAGTCGAAAAATAATAAATACAAAGTATTAAATGTGAAAAGTTTTTTGTTTTAGAAAGAAAACAAAATAAGGGTAAATATAACTCATTAGGATTTTTTTGTTTGAGTTTGTCTTCCGCGAGTAGCGAATTTACATTGCAATTATAAAACGCAAAAGATGCACGTCACTCTGGTGTTGCACAATTTTTGCATTTAAGTAAAGATATGGAAATTTGTAAATTTGGGAACCGTGTTTTAAAAACAAAATCGATGTTTTAGAACTGAAATTTAAAGTATTTGGAACTTTCGACGATATAAAATAATTCAGAACACAGAAACGTTTAAAACTTAAATTCTTAAGTGAAAAACGAATAAATTAATAAAGAAAAATTAATTTAATTTAGAAGAAACTCATTTTTTAAATCTTTAAAATCAATTTAGTATTTTTAAAATATAAGTTTTAGTTTGAAAGAATAAAATTCTCGAAAGTTGCTTTTAAGGGAAATTAAAATGTTATATCGGCCACACTGACCTCGTGGTACTGTATCGTTATGTTGGCAGCTTCTGCCCCTTCCTTCCTTTTGCGCCGATCCACTGGGCAGAACTGCGATAGAACGTGATCGATCGAATTTCAAAAAAGGCACACACCTACCCTCTGTGCTCCCGTGATTACGAAATTACTCCAAATCTCCTGTTCAAAAATCAGGAGTTAGTGTTTCGTGATCCCCCATCCGCGTGTGCCGCAACTCCCACCTCGACATATTCACCTAGTGAAGATCACATAATCGAACAAAATGTCGAACCTCGCCGATCCGGTCGCGTTCGCTAAGGACTTCCTGGCTGGCGGTATCTCCGCCGCCGTCTCCAAGACCGCCGTAGCACCCATCGAGCGTGTCAAGCTGCTGCTCCAAGTACAGCACGTCAGCAAGCAGATCGCCGCCGACCAGCGTTACAAGGGTATCGTCGACGCCTTCGTCCGCATCCCCAAGGAGCAGGGTCTCCTTTCATTCTGGCGTGGTAACTTCGCCAACGTCATCAGGTACTTCCCGACCCAGGCGCTCAACTTCGCCTTCAAGGACAAGTACAAGCAGGTGTTCCTCGGCGGCGTTGACAAGAAGACGCAGTTCTGGCGTTACTTCGCTGGTAATCTGGCCTCCGGTGGTGCCGCCGGAGCCACCTCTCTGTGCTTCGTGTACCCCCTCGACTTCGCACGTACCCGTCTCGCCGCCGATGTCGGTAAGGGAGATGGCCAGCGTGAATTCTCCGGTCTCGGAAACTGCATCAGCAAGATCTTCAAGTCCGACGGTCTGATTGGTCTGTACAGAGGTTTCGGTGTGTCCGTGCAAGGTATCATCATCTACCGTGCCTCATACTTCGGTTTCTACGACACTGCCCGTGGCATGCTGCCCGACCCTAAGAACACACCCATTGTAATCAGCTGGGCCATCGCTCAGACCGTAACCACAGTCGCCGGTATCATCTCCTATCCCTTCGACACAGTCCGTAGGCGCATGATGATGCAGTCTGGTCGTGCCAAGAGCGATATCCTGTACAAGAACACCATCCACTGCTGGGCTACCATTGCCAAGACCGAGGGAACCTCGGCCTTCTTCAAGGGAGCCTTCTCCAACGTCCTCAGAGGTACTGGTGGTGCCTTCGTGCTCGTCTTGTATGATGAGATCAAGAAGGTCCTGTAAATCTAACGTAAGAATTGTTACCATAATTTCTATGTGATTCCGTGTCGCAGCCACTCCCCTCAAATCATGTATTATTAGACACGAAAACGACTTTAGTAACTTATTTTTAGTTAAATAAAGTGTTATACAATGATTCCATAATTTATTGTTTTATTAAGTGTTACATAATTGGTTGTTCTAACTGAAGTGATATAGGACCTCTTTGAAAATTTTCTAATTTTGACATCTCAATTGCTTTCATATTATATAATCTATTCTTAATTCAAAATGAAAAATGATTAGTTTTTTTTATGTGACATTACATAGTTTGGGCTGCGGCTGTTATGTAATTAACCTCATTTCAGTCTGGTGCCGGAGGCCAAGGCTGAACTAAAAATTGTTTAGAACTTCATGTTAAAAGAAGTGTTTAATGTCTTGTCTATTTTAAATTTGAGTTTTGTGGGAATTGAGAATTTCCACTTTTTCTTACACAGCGGGAGTGAGTTTGACATAATTATGTAGTGTATTTTTGACTTCTGTACACATTATGCTATTAAATGTAAAATCATGTGATTTTGAAGCTGATTATGTAACGCTGACATTTGTGACTTGTTAAATTGGTGTGCGGAACCTAATAGTTGACATTATTGTTTTTAATCAATTGAAAATCGCTGTGTAGCTGCCAATCAATATCTCATGTAGGTAAAAATATTTGTGATCCTAAGAGAGTTCGTGTTTGAGTTTTTCCTGAAAAATTCATACAAAACGAGCACACATGTAATGATAGAAAAAATAAAAATGATAAAAATCCCATACTGGTTTTTATTTTGGAAGTACATAATATATTTCTGAATAAAAATTGCAAATAATCTTTACCCTTAGGGTCTGATGAAAAATTTGTAAAAAATTGCTAAATTCTTGTATCCGTTCAAAGTTCTTTAATGTTTGTCATAATGCAGTGGATTACATAACCCGTCTGAACAGTTATATAATAATATAGATATGTGCTACGCATTTATGCTATGTACTACAAACCTAAATCTACATTTATAATCTATCGGCTGCGTCAAGGTCATTGTACTGATGACAGTTTTCACAATGACCTGGAACATGACGTCATCTGCCATTGATCGCACGTCACACGGGTGTTGGAATTTCGGAATTCAATTTCCTAATTTAGATAACAAGTCATTATTTGTTGCTTAATCTTAGTTAATTGCAGTTAATGGAGTTAAATAATTTGTTGATCGAGCATTATATAGCAATTACTGTTGATAGAACAATCGGTCGAG